CACACACACACACACGTCACCGGCTCGGTCTAAACGATGAGAGGACCCAGGGCTCGGTGCAAACTAATGAAGGCCACTTGTTTTCTCAGGAACACATATTTTTTTGTGGTTTTGTTATGAAGCTGGTTATAGAATTAAATCACATCGCTCATGACGATGGTTTCCCGCTCCACACATTCACATTTACAGGTACTGCGCTTCACGGTTGGCCACCTCCAAGTATTATATTAAAGTGCAGTTTACATTCCTCGTGTCTGACTGCGATCAAACATTTTGTTTCTAATAACCAATGATGCAGCAATGTCAGATAAACAAAGGATAAACACAGTCTGCTCTCGGTCATGTCCTGAAGTCGATGCCAGAAGCAGAAACTCCCTCTCTCCCGAAGCTCGTCTGGAGACTTTTTCTCCCAATGCCATGTTAGCACAACACAGAGGACATCCCTGATGCATCCCTGGCTGCAGATAACAGCACCGCTTCCTCTTGCAGGGCATCAAGCTGGGTCAACAAAACAACGAGGAGCATACCGAACTGAGAGAAGACATCACATCCTATGTCTGCTTTCTGTCAGATTGCTGTCTGGACGGGGGAAAATCAGCCCAACTTCCCTCCTAAAATGTCTAAAGAGGTTCGGTTTCTATTCTCGTCCGTCCATTTCAACGATGAATGCAGTGACAAAACAATGGTTTTCCTTCCGGACATAGTCTTCCCAGTTTTGAGCTTTATGTTTCTCTTCCTGGGCCACAACATCTGCGAACACATTCTGTGGTCTCCAGCTGTTGTCTGTCATCAAATTCTCCTTTAGGCATCCAACAGGGAATTCTTATGGGACTTGAGCCAAAACACAAAGGCATGTAATTGAAAATCCACCGATGTTGAAACCAATATTTTATGGTTACTAAAGGGCAGTCCATTATAACTTTGTAGTCAGCTATAAAATAGGGAAATACGGTGGGACTCTTGCTGTCGAAACTGAGCATTAGGCATGGAGCAGCATTAGCTTAGCTTAGCATAAAGACTGAAAGCTTTGCCCAAAGTATTAAAAAAAAGCCTAAAGCTTATTTTTTTTAACATGCATCTTTAATCCAAACAGACAAGCGTGTTGTTTTATTTCTGTTGGTGAAACATTAACATGCGTTAATTAGTGAGCTTTTTGAGGGCGGTGGCAGGATGGATCTATACTTTCATGTTGTTCACATCAAATTCAGACACCATCGTCTGAATGTCACAGCAGAAATCGAGACCCGTCAGACAAAGCAACGTTTTTTCCAATCTTCTATTGTTCAATTTTGGAGAGCCCGCGCCAATTGCAGCCTCAGTTTCCTGTTGTTAGCTAACACTCGGTGAGTTCTTCTGCTGCTCAAGCCCATCTGCTTCAAGGTCCGACGTGTTACCAGATGTCTCTTCTGTATACCGCTGTTGTTTTCTCATTCATGTGGGAGGGTGGTCCTCAGAATTTCTTTAAGAATTTATCAGAAGTGGGCCGAGAGCCTTAAGTTACACAAAAAGGTTGAGAACCTGCCTAAATGCATTGAGTTGCTGCCACGTGACAGGTGAGTGTGTATAAAGTATTTTAAATTGCACCGCATACAAATTGATTATCTCGCTTTAAGGTCGCGACTGATTGCGTATCTGTTAGGAATCTGCTCATTTCACACCCTCAACACTGTCTGACACTAACTGTCTGAATGACTGACTCATAGTCAGCGCCCTGTTTACGAGGTGTTCACGTTACTCAACAGGTGTCCTCTTGGATCACACCCAAGACTACTTGTCTCCCCTGTTCTTCTTCTCTTCAGAGCGTGACATCGAACCAAACACTCATCCATCCTGTCTAAGTACTCTCTCTCTAGTAGCACAGCTGCTGAATCTATTTAAGCCCACAATTCACCTTGATGAGTGGACATGTTGAATTCCTTAACCGATACACTGACCGTCCCGGTGAGAGATTTACAGGAGCCCTTTGTAGTGGCAGCCAAATGGCAAATGTCTCCCAGGATCAGGCCTCCTGCCTCATGTCCCTTCATGGCTCGCTGCTGTTATTTTACACCTCCACAACCTGGACAGTTTCTTACGACCGCAGCCAGAAGCTCTCTGCAGGCCATGGGAGCTGCTGCCACTGGGTGTTACTGTTTATTTTCCCCCCGGAGGAATTTAGACTTTACAAACCAGATTATTCCATGATGAAAACCTTTGTCACACGTAATAAAGTCCAGTGGAACAAAATGTGTAAGTAAGTGTTAATTCTGTCAGACAAACAAAATACTAATTCATGCAATATAAAACAGCCTCAGTGCCTCTTTGGGAGGGAAAATGGCATTCCCTGTGCGCTACTGTTCTTTTTGAGACTTTTTGACTGCTTCCATATATTATTAAATGTACAAAAAGACTGTGTTCTCCTTTAAGTCCAGACTGAAATATCTCAACAACTATTGGATTCATTATCATGAAATATTTTAAGGACATTCATGGTCTCCAGATGATGTATCCTAATGACTTTGGAGATCCTCTGACTTTTGCTAATTAGCATTTAACAGAAAGTAAAGCTGAGGTTGATCAGAATGTCCGTTTTTCAGGTATTCAGAAAGTATTCCGACCCCTTCGCTTCAACTTTTTATACTACCCCACTATGCATAACTGAAATAGCACATTGACATAACTATTCAGACCCTTTGCTGTGACACTACAGCTTTAGTTACTTCAAATATTTGTGAAATCAGATAGAAACTATGTATAGGTTCTTTTTTTATTATTATTCTCAATATCTCTGACTGGGAAATACCACTCGGAGGCAAACGTTTTTTGCTCAGTTGCTCGTAAACGATAAGTGCAGCCTTACAGGCTCTGAGTCCTGTTTTTTTTCAATGCCTTAACTTACAATCACTGCTTTCTATTTTGCCGTTAAACTCATTAAATGACCAAACTGTGCGTGCATTCAGTTAAAACAGGAAAGCGTGTAACAAAGTTGGCTTTTTAATTACCACCCCACTTTACTGTTTATTCCCCCTGAAATGGATTAGGGTACTTTAACGGCCTCTGAAGCTCAGAACAGTCCTCATATTGTGCGACTCCCTGGGTTGCATGATATGGATTTCGTGGGAGGTGACTGGGAATATTGACAGCGGCACAATACTGTGTGGAGCATGGCAACAACAGAGGAGCCCTGCAGCATCGGAGGGAAAGGGACACTCTCATGGCTGCAGCTGTAAAACTGTTGCAGAAAAAAAAAGAAAAGAAAAGAACATCAAGGCTGGTCTCTTATGGATGTCAGATGACTGCGCTCCCTTTCATTCCCAGTACAAAGACGCTCAATGTGGTTTCGGCTTCCTGCGGATCACAGGGCTAATTTCAGCTGAACGACGCACACAAATCAGCATGAACACACATTGTACATATTGTTGTCGCTGATTAGAGATCTCATCAGGATAATTTGCTCCTTCTTGCCGTTTTTAAACAATAACGACGTTCTGATGTGTAACATATTTCGGTCGCTTGAACATGAAAAATCGCTTCCTTATAAGGTCAAATTAGTGTCAAAGACTCCATTGTTTAACAATGAGGCTGTGCTTCATTTTACACGATCATGTCATTGGTTAATCTTAATTGCACGAGACCATAACATGATCAGTATCCCTAGATATTAATGACACATAACCACTACCATTAAGCCTGTAACATTAGGGAATAAAGCACCTTTAAAGAGAAAATTCGTGTCTGCTTTTGTTTTATGAGTCTCCAGGCGGCTGCTTGTTTATCCAGTGAAACAATGTGGGCTGCAGCTGCAGTTTCTCCTCTGATGCTGTCGGCAGAACTGACAAACAGATCTCAGTCAGTCAATAAGTAAACAAGTCACCACCACGCCAAGTCTTCATCACACAGTGACCTGACACAGGAGGTCCTTGGGAGGGGGGGGTCGCGAGATGATTATTGAGGTACAAAATAGGAAAAAACTAAGCTTGTGGAACTTTTCCCAAATTTCTTTTTTAATACTGTATAGTTTTGCTTCCTCTGACTTCTAAAATGCTTTATTTCATGGTTCTATAATATCATAATCATATACTTGGAAAGAAGTATGTACTATGGGTACACATTTTTGCCCCAATTTGAATTTCCTAGACAGAAAAACACCATCTGAACGAAAGAAATCCTTCTTTTTTATCAGAAGTCTTTTCTTCATTTCACAAACAAATTAAACATAAAAGTATTGAATCTAATAGCAAATGTGTTTACTTGCTATTGAGCTTTCAGCCACCACTTCTCAATCTCTATCCGCAGAGGAAGACTATGACGTGGTTAAAAGCTCTGGGACAAAGCTAGAAAGTGGACTCATAGATCCTTCTTTGTCAAACTTCTATTTCAGAGGTCAAGACGAAACTTTCATGCTCATTATGTTCTCCGTATTTGACTATTTTCTGCATGTTGCAGCTGAAAATTAACTATAACTTTTTTCAAAAAGTCATATCAATGCAAAATGGTGGACCGACTGACATTGCCATCCAAGACCGAGCGTTGCTAAAAATATATGTGAAACGTCTTATAATCACGAAAGAATAAAAGTAGAGAGGCAGATTAAAAAGATTGTGATCGAGTGTGGTCATGAGGTCTCTTAAAATGAAGTACCTTTAGTTGAAGTTACTTTTGGCAGCATGTTGCCCTTGGATTATGCTTGCAGGCAAACGCCGACCGAAGCAAATAAACAGTCGGCCTTATGGTCTTTAAAAAACGGCAACTATCATCCAAAACAAACACACGGGTAAACATATTTTCCCATCAGCTGCCAGCTGGCACTGGACAGTTCAAGAGGTGGGTGTTAATGGTAACAGACGTTTGTTTTCTGAGAGACCGGGCCTGCTGTCTCTGTTTCATGTCTGCT